ACAGCTGTGCGTGTACAGGTGTGTGGATAAGTGTGTATAGCTGTGTACAGGTGTGTATGTGTGGGAGTGTAGGGGTGGGTGTGGGGTGTGTGGACAGCTGTGTGGATTGGTGGTAATCCACCTGCCTTTCCCGGGGGAGGATGGTGGGCTGGGTTGGTGCCACCTCAGTGGGACCAGGAGAAATGGGGGCTCTGCTTTTGTCCGTGTCCTTAGCTGATGGCTGTGGTGGCCAGCACCATCCTGGACCTGATCAAAAACATGCGGGCTTTCGGCGGGATCCTGGTGGTGAGTCTGGCCGCCGCGCGGGCCATGATGGGGCACTCCAGCCGGCTGCTGGGCTGTGCGAGTCAGGCACTGTGGGACGCTGACCGATGAGCGCGCTCTCGGGCGGAGGGTCCCTGTGTTAGGGCCACAGGAGGTTGCCAGGTGCCGGAAGCACAGGGCTGCGCAGGAAGCCAGCATGGACCTCAGGGCAGGTCTGGCTGGACGCGCAGCCTGACGGTGTCCCCCTCATGCCGGAGCCTTTTGGAGCCTTTCAGATCCCCCCATTTTCTGGGTCATGGGTCACACTGAGAAATTCACGAAAAAAAGTATAGGAGGCACCAGAGACCCCCAAAGCCCACATGGACCCCAGATGAGGTTTTGGTCAGCTCTCCTTTCTCAGGGGGATTTCAGGAACTCACAGCTGACCCCCTGGAGGGGCTGTGGGCTCCGCCCCATGACCCAGCCCAGGCAGGGGGCGCTGAGCAGGTGGGGCCCTGGTGCTGCTCCAGGCAGGGGGCAGTGCACAGGTGAGACGGCGATGAAGTGATGATGACCTGCAGGGAGCCCTGCCGCGTGGCTGCTGCTGCTCGTGGCCTTTTTGTCCTTTATTTTGAACACCATGGGGGATGGGGAGCCACTGGGAGGGCAGCCCCAGCGCGCTGGGCTTGTCACAGGCTGCTAGAAATAGACTGTTGCACCTGGCACTGCCCTGCCCCCACATCTAGGTGTACAGCATTGGAAACAGGCCCGGCAGGAGCTGGGTCAGCCCAGGGTGTGCAGCCCCCGGCAGGTTAGGGTCAGGCCACTGGGGAGAGGCTGCCCCAGGCGCTCCTTGGACGCCCCCTGGTGGATGTGGGGGCCATGGTGGGCTTCCTCCTTAGAGGCCCGGCCAGTTCCCATCCTTCCCCGGGACCATCTTCCGGGCCCCTTGCCCTGTGTCAGTGGAGTCCTCACCCCTCTCTCGGGCACACTTGTCCTGGAGGAGGGGCAGGCAGCCTTGTTTTGGCCTTTCCCCTGGGCCCCCAGTTTGTCTTGGGGGCTCCCTTGGTGACTCCTCCCTCTAACCCTCCGGCCCACTGTCCTGTGCCTTTGGTGAGGGGTGGCGTCCGGTGTGTGTGTGGGGGAGTGCGTGGGAGCAGAGCCCCGGCATCCCCCGTGGCAGGCTGGCAGCTCCCATGTTCGGGGGCCGTGGCCGGGGTGGGAGCCCTCAGGCCAGCCTGGCTGTGGGGTCCGTCTGGGAGGTGCTGACCCGCGGCCCCGCCCCCCCCCAGGTGGTGTACTATGTCTTCGCCATCATAGGCATTAACCTGTTCCGTGGCGTCATTGTGGTTCCTCCCGGGAACGGCAGGTGAGGTGGGGCCTGCAGGTGCTCAGGGGGCATGTGGGGGGCCGGGACAGTGTGAGGCCTCGGTAGGGCGTGGGGCGGCTCCCCAGGAGGGAGCCTCTGGGACCTCCTCCTTCCTTCGCCTCCCGCTCCGCTCCCCTGCCCTCCCATCTGCGGTCCTAGACCCACCTCGACTAGTCTGTGCGGAGTTTCCTGTGGCTGAGAGGAGCGCCCCCTTTTGGACCTCAAGGCGAGGCCCTGTCCTGGCAGAGGGGGAGCTGTGCCACTAGAGCTGACAGCAGCCCTGGAGCTTCGAGAAGGCCCCGCCTGCTGGCCACTGGGAAGTTGTTTCTCGCGTGTGCCCGCAGCTCTTCCCCCTCGCTGCCCTCATAGAACTGCTGGAGGTCGCGGGGCCTTCTTTCCCGCATTTCTCAGGGGCCCAGAGAGGGTTCCATGCGGCGCCGGGGCCGAGGCAGCGCGCCTGGCGTGCGTGTGCCAGCCTCCGCCCCTGACCCTGTTGTGTCCCGCAGCCTGGCCCCCGACAACAGCTCGGTGGCCTGTGGCAGCTACGAGCAGCTGGAGTACTGGGCCAACAACTTCGATGACTTTGCGGTGAGCCCCTCGCCCCCTGCTCCCGGGAGCCCGCCCCTCCCCGCTCCCCACACCCTGCTGGACCCCGTGTCTGCTGCCCGCAGGCCGCCCTGGTCACGCTGTGGAACGTGATGGTGGTGAACAACTGGCAGGTTTTCCTGGACGCCTTTCGGCGCTACTCGGGCCCGTGAGTGACGCCGTCCCGGGGCCCCTCCCCTTTTGTCAGAGTGCAAGGCGCATGTCCTGCGCTCCCGCCCCTGGCTGGGCTACAGCTGGGTGACCTCGGTGTGTGTGGGAGGAGCAAATGGCTCTGGGGAACCCCACGACGGCAGGGCCCCTGGTTTCTGGGGTGGGAGAGCCCCGAGGTGGCGGAACTGAGCGGAGGAGTTCGGCCTGGATCTTGGAGAGATCGGACCGGCCCAGGGGACCGTCCTGGGTTCCAATCCCGCCTCCACCTCTTGCTGGCGCTGCGTCCTTGGGCAGCTCAGACTGTTTCTAGGTTTGGTCATCTCTAAAACGGGAATAATAACGTCACGGAATTACCGGGCAAGCTTTAGTGGGAGCTGTCACAGGCTCGCCATGCTGATGGCGTCCCTCGGGTGATCTCGCTCTGCTCACGGTGGGCCATGGGCGCGCCTCCTTGTCCTCCACAGGTGGTCGAAGATCTATTTTGTGATGTGGTGGCTGGTGTCGTCTGTCATCTGGGTCAACCTGTTTCTGGCTCTGATTCTGGAGGTATCAGAGACCCCTGCCCGGGCTGTGCCATGGGGTTTTCTAACCTGCTGACGGTGGGCGTGAAGCTGCTGGCCGGCCCGCCCGGAACTCGGATGGGAGAGGCCATGCCGGGCTCAGGCGGCCCTGAGTTCAGGCTCGGCCCTTCCCTTGGGGCTCAGTGCAGCTCACCTGGCTGCTGGGAGGTTCTTGGACCGCCCCTGACATTGACCTGTGTGGGAGGAGGGCTGTCGGAGAGGGGCCTGGGCATGGGCTGGCAGCCTTGCTGGCCGTGGACCCGCGCATCTGGGGTGAGCTTCCCTGCTCGCTGCACTGGACGCCAGGCCAACACGGGGGCTGTGGGGGCTGAGGCTGCTTCCATGCAGGGCCCACACTCACTGGCCTGCCTCCCTCCCTCGCTCACCAGAATTTCCTTCACAAGTGGGACCGCCGCAGTCGCCTGCAGTCCCTATCTGGGGAGCGGGAGACCACCTATGAGATGAGCACTGTGGAGCTCTTGTTCAGGTGTGTGGACGGGAAGGGGCTCCTTGGCTCCTGGGCGAGGAGGGAGACAGGGAGAGGCAGGGAGGTGGCAGGCAGGTGTCTTTTGTGACGGTGACGGTGACACTCCCACAAGTCCCAGGCACCTTGCCTGCCTCCTGCAGAGCTCCGAGCTGGGGTTGGGGTCCGGGGTCAGGGTGCTGCTCTCCCTCTGCTCACGCCTCCCGTGCCGCAGACTCTCACATGTTCTCCAATTGGGCATATTTAAAGAAGCATCGCTCTGGTCCCCTTAGTCTCTGGGTGACTCCGTTGGAAGATATGGACAGGCGGCCCGAGGAAACTGTTCCTCTCTAGTACAGAGAGGTGCTGGTTGTCCCAGAGACAGCGCAGCTCCGGGGGCCTGATCTCCCTCTGAGGGCGTTGGCTGCATGGTCGCAGGCCATCCCTGTCCAGCGGCAGCAGCCTGCATGGAGGGGTAGCCCCTGGGCTTTTGAGAGCACCATGTAAACATCCTGAAGATGGACCTGAAGCCCGTGTCCCCAGCCCTGGCCACGTTCCCTGTGCACGCGTCATGGTTCTCCCCCCGCAAAGGGAGCTTGTACAAGACGGTCCCACATGCTCCACCCACTTGCTCTTCTGGGGGTGCCTGGGGCCCGGGGTCTTTCTCTGCAGAGCCCTGAGCACCTTCTCCCCACTCTGCAGGGACATCCTGGAGGAGCCGACGGAGGAGGAGCTGATGGAGAAGCTGAAACGTCATCCGCACGTGCAGCTGTGCAGGTGACACCCAGGTGCGCCTCCCTGGCTGGGGCCGCGGATGGTGATGCGGCCTGGGGACCAATGTCGACTGCAGCCTGGAGGCAGAGACTTTCCGTTGGACAGAAGCACCCCGTCCGCCTGAGACTCGGGCGGCCTCGAGACCCCTGGGTGCTGGACTGGGACCACCAGCAGCTTCTCGGCAGCGTCGGGGACGGCCGCCGGCACTCGGGGCAGCGTCCGCACCATGCTTGTCTGTGAGCTATCACTTTTCTAAGTATGGAGAGAGGGCAGCTCCACAGGGCCCTTCAGGCAGCCTGAAAAGCAAGGAGCAGCGGTTTCCCTCGGGCCCTGCGACTTCCGTGGTGCCTTCGCTGCTGGCGGCCGTCAGGGACCGAGGCCCCCATGGGGCCCACGCAGGCCAGCCGCAGCGTCCCCGGCTCTAAGCCTGGGATCCTGGTGGTTTTACATGAAGTGAATCTTGGGTGTTTTATTATTGTATGGCCTGGATGAATGCGGTTGAGTGTGTTTGTGTTTCTCTATGGTCAGAATGCCAATATCAGTAAGTCTCGCTAAGAATGAGATTCTCATCCTTACTTCGACATGGCTCCAGTCTGCTTCTTGGGAGCAGGGCTGCCAGGTAAGGTTGTTCAGGTCGTGCACTGCACAAGGGGTACCTGGCTGCAAGGGTGTATTCCGGCATAGAGCTGTCTACCCCAGGCGAGGGACGCCTTTTTCTAAATTGCATAAAGGCGTGTATAAGCCAGTGGTGGCCCTGCTGGGCGAGTCCTCGGTGTGTGGCAGAGGGGGCCAGGGTGGGGAGGAGGGAAGGAAAGTGCCCAGCGCGTGGCAGAGGCCACATGGCCACTTGACCCAGATGACAAATGGTTTTCTCATGTCAAGTGCCAACTTGAGGGATTGGCGGCAGCTCCTGGAGGTGTCTGTTGAGGAAGGTTGGGACCCTCACGGAGAAGAGCGTGGGGATGGATTAGTGATGTCTGCCGTGGGCACTGCAGGACGATGAGAACACGGGTGCTGACTGCTTTGGGAAGGGAGCTCCTGTCTTCTCTGCCTGGGAGGTGGGATTAGAGGAAAGTTTCACTAAAAAAGTAACTTCTGAAATGTCATGAAACTCCAGTGCTGGGGGTTTGTAAACCCTGGTGTTGTTTTATGTCCGTGCACGTTGTAGTTCTCGGCCCTGGAGTTCACCTGAAATCCAGGGCATTTACCTGCCATCCGTCAGGTTTGGGGGACCTGTGGGGGTGGTCAGGACACCCCCACACCTGCCCCCTCTGCAGGTTTCCTTTCTGGAAGGCAGGTTTTGGGTGGGGAGGACCTCATGGAGCAGTGGGTTAGAAGTGCACACCCAGCTCGCCTCACGGGGACCCGCTTAGTATCTCTGGGAACAAGGGCGAGGGCCCACCTGGACAGCTGTCTTCCGGCTGCAGAATTTCCACCCCCAGGGCTGAGCGCCATCTAGTGGCGGGATCTGGTTCTAGTGCCCTTATTTTTAATGCAAGCTGGACCCTGTGACCCCAGCTATCGCTCATTGCTTTTTCCCAGGCCAGCTGGAGGTCTGCTTGCCTCTGTCGCTGTCACCCTGTCTCACTGTCTGGGCTGCGGGCTTGTCCACCTGCAGAGCCTGGTCCCAGTGGTGGCTCACCCGGTGGGACGTCCTGTGTGTGTCCCAGATCTGATGTCACGGGTCCACCCCTCCCCATTTCATGGCTGTGTGCAGAGAAGCCCCTCTGATTTTTACTGTCACGAGACAGAGAATTCTGGATGATCTGCACTGGGCTCAGACACAGAGCTGTTCAGAGGCTGGCTCTGCCCTTGGGAGGGTAACAAGCTGGTGTGGTCACACTGCTGCCTTCTGACCATGAGCTGGGGTCTCGTGAATGCTCTGGCGGCGGGGGGGGGGGGGTGCCTGCCGGCTCCCGTAGCTCACAATTCCCTCCATCAGTTTCAAATGGTGTTGGCCTCCGAGACTTGGTCCCAACGAGAACTGGGGCTGAGCTCCACAAGGCTGAGCTTGGGCACCACTGCTGGTTAAGGGGGCAGGGCCGGGGGCGTCGCTCTGCCAGGAGCCGTAGGAGCTCGGGCCGCCATGCTGCACTGGAGAAGAACGTGAGCCCCCACCTCAGCCCTTGCAGTTCTGCTGGGGGCTCCTGTGGTTTTCTGTGGCTGCAGTGGCTCTGGTCGCCCTCAGTGCTCGGGCTGGATGTGAGGTACAGGGGCTCAGCTGGACCCTGCGGACCCTGTAGTCATCAGAGCAGTGGCAGGAGTCGGGGACTCCTGGGTCCGGCACTGCTGCCCTCCTGGGGGTTCTGCAGGAGGGTCCCTGTGGCCTGGGTCGGGGTCCGAGGAGGGGCCTGCGTCTCCATGGCCCGGGGAGGCCTGGCCTGGCTGGGGGCAGCTAGCCCAACGGGGCAGGTATGCCTAGGAGGTGAGGGGAAAGGGGCTGGTGCCCACGTGGTGGGCGGCTGGAGTGGGCAGCAGAGGGGCTGTGGGTGGGCCGGGGTGGTCTGGGTGCTTGTGGCCTGAACCTTGGGTTTGGAGCTCAACGCACCGAGGAGAAGTGGGGCGTTGGGTCTGAGTCACCGATGAGCCAGGAGCTGGGTGTGCGGGTGAGGCAGCAACCTGGGTGGGCACCAAAGCCCCCCGCCCACCTGGGAGGCCAGCACCCTGTCCAGCTGGCACTTGCAGCCCCTACGTGGGGAGGCTGTCACTTCCTATCCCACCCAGCTCGAGGCTGCCTGGAACCTCCGGCAAGCTCCTCCCTTGGTGCCCTGTCTGCCCATTCTCACTGTCACCGTCACCGGGCAGGGCTGCTTCCATGTGTACACGGTGGTCTCTCCTGTGAGGTTCTGAGCCCTCCCCCCCGCCCCACTGGGCAAAGTTGTTACCTGAGAGGTTGGTGACAGGGAGGAGCGGGGGCAAGGTGAGGCCAGGAGTTTGTTTTTGCTTATGTTTACTGATAATATTAGTGATAACATGGAATCAACTGCAAACTTAGAGAAGAGTTGCAAGTACAGTAAAAATAACTTATTTCCTGATCAGAAGTTGCGGTTCTGATCCCTTCCCCTCCATGCCTCGGGGAGGGTGTCCGACAAACAGGGCCCCGTTTTGCAGGACTCTAGACACCGGGAAGGCCGGGTGTCGTCCCCATGCGTCCTGCCTCGCTACTCACCCCGTTCACGGCTCCCTTGGCTCTGAGCCCCCAGTTCCAGGCCCACGGGCCTCTGTGGCCACGTCTGTGATCTCCTTGACTTTTATAACCTTGACACTTTCAGAGATCAGCCAGTGATGGTGTAGGATGGCCCCCAAACTGGGTTTATGTGGCTTTCCTCATGATGAGCTTTAGGTTGGGCGTTTTTTACAGGAATATCATGGTGGGTGGCAATTTCAGTTTGTCCCATGGCTGGTGTCACTCTGATCACTGGGTTAAGGTGGTGCCACCAGGCTGCCCAGAGCAATCCTCCCTTTGTGACTGATGCGTGGGAGGTGCTGGGAACTAACTGTCCTGTTCCTCATCAACTTACCTTCCCCGCTCCCTCCGTCTCTCCCCGCCCCCACTCCATTGCTGCTTTCATCTGTGTGGGTAGTGGTTTCTTTTATTCAGTGGGTCTGTTACTATATTTAATTTGATGTTTAAATTGTCCTCATTTGCCATGGGAACCCCTTCGGCTAAATTTTGTGTCCCTTTGCTTTGTACCTTCCATCCTGTGCATGTTTGTTTGCTTTCTGGCATGAAAAGATGTTCTAGGCTCATTCTGAACCTTCTGTGCCCCAGTCCTGGAATGAGCCAGTTCTCCAAGGACCCCGTCCCTTCAAGTGAGATCAGTACCTAGGAACCAAGACGTCGGTGTGAGGTGTGCTCACTGCTGCTGGGCATTGCTGCACCCGGGTTCCCTCGGCGCGCAGAGCTAGGGTGTCTGTCTGTCTGTCTGTCTGTCTATCTATCTATATCTGTCATCTACCTATCTATCATCTATCATCTATCTATCTACCTATTATCTATCTATCTATCAGCTATCTATATCTACCTATCTATCATCTATCTATCTATCTATCTATCTATCTATCATCTATCTATCTATCTATCTATCTATCTATCTATCTATCTATTATCAACCTAATCTAATGTATAATTGACATTATACCAAGACCTCCAGAGCCACTGCCAATTGAATCGAATCTCTGTCACCCTTTGAGCCTGTTCTTCAGGAAGAGCCCCGGTGTTTCGCGGGTTCACCTGAGAGGGTCAGGCCCACTGGGATAATCTCTTAAAGTCACCTGTGCCGTAGAGCATCATCACCCAGTCTGGGGGTGACTATCGTGTCAGTCACAGGTTCCGCCCACATCTCACAAACAAGGGTGAGGGTCATTGGGGGTCACCTTGGAATTCTGCCCGCTGCAGAGTTTTCCTGTCTTCAAAGGTAGAAAGAGTTGATATAAAAATTCCAATCTTCCCCAAATTAATCCATAGATTTGTTATAATTCTGAACATAATGCTAATTTCCCCCACAACATTTGATAAGCTGATTGGAAAATTTACATGAAACTTAACATGCAAAAACAGCTGTGTCACATTTATAGACAAATATGGTCGAGGACCTTTCTACACCAGCATTCATTCCTGTTTATTGTAAAGACGCGGTAACCAAGACATGTGACACTGGCACAGGGACAGATGGACCATGGGACAGAACAGAGCGCCCAGAAACGGCCCCGCACGTGTGTGGAAGCTGGGAGTCAGTGGGAACGGCTGGATTACCTGCTAAATGCTGTCGGAAGCTCCGGTCCATGGAAAAGAAGGAAGTCAGCCCAGTCGCACCCTGACGTGGAAGTTCACGCCCGCTGTGTGAAGGCCTGAAGTGTAAAAGGCAACCTGAAAACATGTAAAAGACACGAGAGAGAAGAAAATACCGAGAAACTCAACACACGTGCCTCAAGAACTTTTTTTACAAGATGCTGGAAAGTAGACAGGGAGCCACCTCTGGACCCAGGGCCCCTACATATTAATTAGCAAGAAAAAGGAGACAACCCAGCAGGAAGAAATGTGCGTGGACTGGCTTTTCACAGAAAAGCAAACAGCCGAGCCCCGGAGTTATGTGAAAAGATGCTCCGTCTCCTAGGAATTCTAGACATTGCAAAGTGAGCCCATGTGGCGAGACATACACGTCACTGTGTCCAGGAGGTCAGAACGGAACGAGTCTGACCATTTGACTGGTTGGAACGTTTAGCTCGACTTGGAGGAACTTGAAATGGACACCATCCCTCCCATCATTTACTGTAGCTGAGGAGGACACACGTTACTCTGCTAGGTGCGCACTCGAGAAGCGCCTGCCCGAGTGTGCCAGGTGGTAGAATGTTCTAAGAGCAGTGTGAGTACCAGCAAAAAGCGGGACGCAACCTAAACGCCCTCGACGCGACGCACATGGCTGCCGAGGTTTATCCACGCCGTGGAATAGGACACAGCCGTGGATGTGGACGAACTCCAGCCCCAAAGGACTGCATGAAAGAAGCCTAGAGAAAGTGTTGAGTGAACAAAGCAAGTTCCAGAGGGCTCCGTACCG